TAGCTATTGTAATAGATACTCTACGGAGTAATTTAGTCCTGAAGAAACATAAACATCGTAAGTCTCTGTATTTCCATTTTTTATAACAATAGAGACGGTTTTCTCCTAGAATTTTCGGCTTTCTGATTTGGCTGGGACGGGGATCTAGGAGAATCGTACCGGTGTGTTTCTATTGGACGCGATTAGGACAGGCGCTGGCGAAATAAATTCTACAGTCTTCGCTTCTTGTGGACCGCTATATCTTAGCATCGTCTGTGTAGATCAGCTTTGTCTTGCAGGTAATCATTTAATATCAGGAACAGAAAGGAACCTAAGATGGCCTCGTACGAAACTCCCAATTTTAGGACTCTTCAAATCGAGTGCACTCTAATAACTTTGGTACGAATCTTCCTATTCTTGAAGAAGTTTCTGAACCAAGATAGGTGTGGGTAGGTGAAGCCCATTTCCACAACCTTCGCGATTAGATGTGTTTGGGGTAATGTTTTGAAGGTTTCGCAAAGCCTAGAAATATTATGTGCACGGGTATTTTTCGGTCGCAGCAGGATGTTGAACTGTTCTGTGCTATGGGAAGACTGGATGAACAAGACCTGCCCGTGTCGAGCTTCATAGAGAATTTTGTTCTTATCCATGTACGCCCTCATTTATTCGCTCCCTAGCGCTAGTTCCGTTTTCCAGATTCTCTGAATGCGAAGCACGCGTGACTATTAATTGCTGTCTGTTACCATCCGTAATAAATTCTAGTGCATTATATGAGTCTGTAGGTGTCACTGAATCTTTGAACTTCGTACCGTTTACCGAGTAAAATAAACTCGTAATAGTACATGAATATCAAATGACGATAACAGAATTCAAATTATTGACTGCTTCTCATTCTCAGCCTCTAGTATGGTTGCAAAAAATTTGACACTTTACTAAGATTAAGTTCTTAGGATTCCCTACGATCCATGTAGCTCCTTTTCAGAGTGGATCTATATTTTTATAATTATAAGTGTGGTATTCGGCAAAACCTTTCCCTTTTAAAAGTTTTTATAATGATAACCACTTGACTTACTTCATAAAGTAGGGTCGTTGCTTTGTTACCTTCAGCATCATATTCCGCGGATTTTCGGCAATAGCCGGAGTACTCTTAATTTAATTAATCCCAACTCAAGTTGTTTCATGTCGCACTCAGTCTTCGAGTGTTTGTGTCATATTGCTGTTATTTTCCTCAGTTTCTAACCTCGGAATTCCTCTGCTTTGTATCTTCTATGAAGTGATTCCTTTAATCTAGCCATAAATAATTGAGTCTTGTCCATAAGTGAACACAGACCTCTAATTTTCCATAATAAATTAACAGTCCGTGTCCTTGTAGCACTTCACTCGCCAAATGCACTATAGGCTGAATATTTTATCTAAGTGGACAGCTCTAATTGCTGAACAGCCCAAAGACACATTTAGGGCAGGTGATCTCTTAGGGTTCGCATTTATTATCAAAGCCTTCCAGTTTTACTGACTATACAAGCTATACTACTAAGACCCACATCGATAACACCTGCAAAAATTCGACTTTGCTGTTGCTGGTTGTCTGACCAAGCTCGTGTTTGACTTAACTCACGTATAAGCCATAGTTGGTTTGGTGATTGTTGATCTGTAACTATCTGTTAGGAATAATTACTCAAACACTTGTAGGCATCCCATGTTGCTGGGAATACTAATTTACCATGTATTCTATATGCTAACTAGTAGGTAATCTTCTGGTAGAGAAACCTTCAACTGTAGCTAGAAGGCTGCATTTACCCACTGCATTATTTCATAATTCCCTGGCCTAGATTAGGACAGATCGAATTAAGCTGAATCGATATAATACGAGCCATTCAAACACGCTTTTCTCGGCATAAAAATGAATCAACTCTGGCCTAATTGAATAAGTCTTAAGTTGTTAGTTCCACTGTGTTTATCCAAACGTTTTTCGAATATTTCAACCATAGAAAAGAAAACTGCAAAAGCGGACTACTTAGTCAACACTAGCTTGTCAATTAAAATAATCGAGTCGATCACCAGAGGTACGGTTGTCTTTATTACGGTTTTATACTATACAGTGCACCACGCAACAACTGTTTACCATAAACAACGAAAAGAAACTTCTTAGATGTAGAAGTAGATATTGGAAATATGTTTATCTGTAAAGTACTTGCACTGCCTAGATCAACTTGTTGGGGATGTTAGATCCCCAAAATTCGCTTGATAATGCCTTATTTTGGTTTTCACGTTTGCCAGAATGGGCTGATCAGATGACCTTGAGATTTCAATTCCCACCAGGAAGACCCATGGCTGTGATTGGCTGCTGTGTATTTTAGTGTGCTACATTCTTAACTGTCTCAAGGACGTTCCTATGTTGTATAAATAAACGAGAGTTGTATGCTTGATTGTACTGTGATTGCTGGGTGTTTGTAGAATATACTTCTACGCTTACAAAGCCTTCTTTTCCGACTTGGGTATTCAAGGTAGCCTACCTGGACGCTGGTAATTGTCTCGTTCGCGTTTATCGACTAAGGTAAACTCGTAATAGCCTCGAGCGTACTAAGTGACAAACTTATCACAACTGATCCCAAGAAATGGACTGTATACGAAACGTTGATGAGACCAGACTATTAGCCGAAGAATAATTAATGAGTATCTCTCAAAAAAGTCCCTAAATACCGTTTTCTTATAACAATAGAAGTGATGTAATCCAAGATATCGATTGGTGTTGTTGACAAGAAATGTTGAAGAAACTGACATCTTGTCGAAATAATTAAGTAGTAGTATTTTTCCACTGATCACGGTGAAACGCAGACCTCTGACTTCACACTAGTAAACTGTCGATTGGTCCTCTGTGTATTGGGAGGGGAACAGTTTAATGACTACGCCAACACCTTAAATGGTTCTAATGATATTCATTCCCGAACTACATAGACCCTGGTGGATGTAAGTGCCAAACGACAGCACTGGAAATCGAGGAGGGGTTATGACTAATATTATCATCTCGTATTACTGACGTAATGTAACAGCTCCAGACACCACAATCTTTTTGATTATTTATCTATTAAAACGTTTACATATATACTGAATACTCCCCCCCCCTTGATGTTTATTTAAAATTAACAAATAAGACAACTAACTGCTCAACAAATAACTATGTTTTAGGATCTTTTTTTTTAATGGAATACACGAACCATGTACAAAGCATAATCAAATAGGTTACATACACAGCAATGAATGAATAAGGCAACAATAGAAGTTCTCGTTTGTTGTGTGCAAAGAAAAAAAACTAATCAATCATAGCTTATAATTTAAATCGAGAGCAGGGGAAATAAAGGATAACAACGAGGAGGAGGAGAGAAATATTCTTTGCTTTTTTCCATTTTTATTACATAAAAGGAATGTAAATAATCACCACTATAAGCAGAAATCATACTCTGTTTTACAAATCCATGGAATAAGATATTCACGTGCATTACAAATATCTAGTCTACACACACACACACACACATATTGTATATATATAAACAATGAATGATATTTGCATCGATTGAAATCATAATTTAACACACATTGGATATTGAATAATTTTTTTTACATGAATAATGATAATAATAATTATTGTTGTAATCAGCAATTGAAAAACCTATACAGTAATAAACACACCAATAGGAGTTAGATGATGCTTTGTTATGTGTCTGGCTTAGAATTCATTCAACATAGAGGATTAACACCACACCACCAGCAACAGTGCACACATCAGTGGAAATTTGCATAGAAAGTCTAGGAAAAAAAAGAGAAATGAAACAAGATTTTAGAAAAAATATGATCTTACACAACATAGGAATGAATTACTCTCATTTCAGAAGCATGGATGAATAAAAAAACAATGTATACTTACTTACTTACTTACGCCTGTTACCCCCCAATGGAGCATAGGCCGCCCACCAGTTTTCTCCAACAAACTCTGTCCTGGGATTCCTTCTTCAGTTCTGTCCAATGTTTGTTCATTCCTCTCATATCTTTCTCTATTTCTCGGCGTAATGTGTTCTTTGGCCTTCCACTCTTCCTTTTGCCTTGAAGGTTCCATGTGAGGGCTTGTCTCGTGACGCAGTTAGGTGCTTTTCGTAGTGTGTCCTATCCACTTACACCACTTCTTCCTGATTTCCTCCTCCACTGGAACCTGGTTCGTTCTCTCCCACAGTTCGTTGTTGCTGATGGTGTCTGGCCAACGAATACGAAGTATTTTGCGTAGACAACTGTTAATAAACACTTGTATCTTCTGAATGATGGCTATCGTAGTTCTCCAGGTTTCCACTCCATACAGTGGAACTGTCTTCACATTTGTATTGAAAATCCTGATTTTGGTTTTGGTTGAAAGTTGTTTGGAGTTCCAGATATTTTTCAACTGTAGAAATGCAGCCCTTGCTTTGCCAATTCGCGCCCTCACATCTGCATCGGATCCACCTTTCTCGTCGATGATGCTGCCCAGATATGTAAACGTGTTAACGTCCTCCAAGGTATCTCCATCAAGCGTGATTCGGTTGGTGCATGTTGTGTTGCATCGGAGAATTTTGCTTTTTCCTTTATGTATGTTGAGACCTACTGCTGCAGAGGCTGCTGCTACACTGGTCGTCCGTCTTCTCTTGCATTTGTTGTTGCGTGTGCGATAGAAGAGCCAGGTCATCTGCGAAGTCCAGATCGTCCAGCTGCATGCTAACTGTCCACTGGATACCGTGCCTCCCTCCAGATGTCGACGTCTTCATAATCCAGTCGATCACCAGCAGAAAGAGAAAGGGTGAGAGTAAGCAACCTTGCCTGACACCGGTCTTCACCTCGAAAGAGTCTGTTAGCTGTCCTCCGTGTACGATTTTGCAGTTGAATCCATCATAAAAATTCCGTATGATGTTGACTATTTACTCAGGCACACCGTAGTGTCGAAGAAGCCTCTACAGTGTTTTCCTATTCACGCTGTATAGAGAATAAATTTCATGTGGCAAAAAAGCGAAGCAATTCCTGTATGCCGTCACGTGTCCAATATAAAGCTTTGGCTATAGGGAATTTTGTAAAGATTGTCGGACCTTATAAGATGTATCAGGAACAAAACTTTAATTTAGTAACTATCGTAAACGAGGAAACCTTGCCCTAGTAGTAGTACAAGACTATGTTGTTCACAGCTCGGATAAAGATGGACGGTTTAGACATTGATTTCACCGGATCGCACTACACAAAACCTAATCGACCATATCTGCATCGATAGGAATTTCACATGGGTGGTCAATGGAAGGTGTGAGAACAAACGGAAGAGCTAATATGCCTTCAGATCACCACTTTGTGGTAGTCAACATGAAACTAAACCTGGAGAAACACTGAGTGATTCAAGTAACTACACTATAAAGGTTTAAAATCGACAACCTTCAGGATGCTAATAACAAACCGGGTAAATTCAAGATAGTTTGCCGCGACAAGTTCCATAGCCTTACAAGATCTATCAGGAAAAGACACTACACTCTTGGGGAACAACTGGAATTACGGTTAAAGAAGCAACAACTTCAACGTTAAACGATTTGAACTTTGCAGATGACCTAGCTTTCTATCCTATACACAGAAACAAATGCAGGTGAAGACAGACCGTACAGTAGTAGAGTGTAGCATTAGATTTCGACATACAAAAGGTAGACTTCTAGATACAACACAGTAAGCACGAATCGAATCACACTTGATACTAGAGCTACATGAGGTGGAAACGTCAACGTACCCAGAAAATGACCAGCAATAAGGGGATCTGATACAAATGTGAAGAGACAAATTGGCAACATTCCTACAACCTCTGAAAAACATCTGATACTCAAAACAACTATTAACCAACACCAAGATCAAAATTTTCAACAAAAAACGGTCAAGACTATTTTTAATTGTACGAAGCTGAAACTTGGAGAATTCCAAGCGTTCGGACACAGCGATCGACCTTTCATTCTGTTAGGAACGTTAGATCCCCAGAACTAACTTGATAAAGGTCCTAATGTCAGATTTTATATTTTCAAGCGTGGGCTGATCACAGTCGACTTTGAGATTACGTTTCTCACCCGGAAAATCTTTGACTTATATTGGTTGATGTGTTATTCTAATACGCTATTTTCGTGGCTCTCTCAAGGACGTTTCTATCATGTATAAATAAACTCCATTTATGTGCTTGTCAACCTCATATTTTCTGAGTGCTTGTAGAATACACTTTCTACGCCATATCAAGACTTCTTCCTCTAATTAGTTAGGCCTTGGGATGCTCGGATTAGATTAATCTGTCATGTCACTGGATTATTTGTCTTCATTCTCTTTACCGGACTAAGGTGAACTCATAATAGTTGCAAGCATATCAAGTGACAAGTATAACACATTGATTTCACTAATCATACTTCTTGAAAAAAACTGTGCTAAAAGGTTACATAATTAAGATTAAGCACAATTTAGCTATTAACCGAGTTTTAACACAGTAACATTTGTTAAATACTGAAAACAGGTTTATCGATTGAATCCAAACATGCTTGGATGCGCTTTCTTGTGAACATGATAAAATATATATATATATATATATATATATATATATATATATATATATTTGTAACCATGAATCGATCAATGTCAGACCACCATTAGAAACCTGGAAGCACTGGACGGTGAGGAATCTTCTCCGACTTCTAGTAGGAAGTCGTGACCAGTAAAGTTCAAACCTGTCCGGATGTATACAGGGTATGAGATTGCGCAACTCCGTGAATTTGATCAAGTTAGACATTAACAACACCGTTAGATACCGGCTCAGTGGTCTAACGGTTAGGGCGCGTACGCGCACAATACCGAAGGTCCTGGGTTCGAATCCTGCGGGGTGCAGGAGTCGTGGATGCGCACTGTCACTGATGAGTAGTTCCATACCAGGACGAAACGGCCGTCTTTCAGTGCTTCCAGGTTTCTAATGGTGGTGCTGGTATAACAATAATCGATTCATGGTTAAAAAATAAAACTTAACAATCTTCACAACAACAACCCCCCGCAATGTAACATAAAAAAACTAATAAAACTTACTCTAATAAACAATTGAAAATCTTTCAAACTAGATTTTAATGCAGTTGTATAAGATTGAATTAGTTCAGTGGATAATTGTTGTCTTGGTAGGAAATAATCTTTTAAATATATATACAATCCATCCTAAAAAATAAAATAGAATTTCGTCAGATTAGTTTGATCTGTTGAAAAAACCAGTGAATGAGTTTTATTTTACAGTTCAAAAGAGTGTTTTTTTCCCTCATTGAAATCATCAATCAATTGATTGTTAGACACCGTCATTAGAAACCTCGAAGCACTGAGAGACGGCGGTTTCGTACTCTGGTATGGGACTACTGATCAGTGTGGCAGTGCGCATCCACGACTCCTGCACCTCGAAGGACTTGAACCCCCAGATTTTCGGTCTTCGAAGAATCCTGAGAGCTGCAGGAGTTATGGATATGCGCTGCTAATTAGTCTCATACCAGGATGGAACGGCCGTCTTTTAGTGCTTCCAGGTTTCTAATGGCAGTTGTCTAAAAATGACTGATTGATGGTTTCAATGTGAAAAAACACTAATCTCCATAACTTTAATTGAAAAAAGTAATATTTTCCTACTAAATTTATCAAATGTATATTATATTAATGTACATGCGTTGTAACGGTAGCTTAAATATATTTTCCGGCTAATTCCTATTGCTTAGTATGATTCTCTGACCACTCAATATACACTGGACAAGTGTTCCAAAGAATCAAAAACACGGTGGAACAGGAAAAGATTATATTCCAAAGAGAAAGGTTAAATGGAATAAGAAGCCAAAAGTGATGGCGAAGGCGAAGGCCAAAAATAGATACAACGATAGTCTATTTATAGCATTTACATGAGAAGCTTCTGGATAGAAATTCACGTGATCGACTGGATTAGATTTAACCAATCAGCACGCAGCTAACAGTACGAGAATTCTCTACTCTGTTCTCTAAGAATCGATCAGGCGCTGATTGGATAGGAAATTAGCCATTTTGCCTTCGCCATCACCTCTGGCTTCTTATTCCTTGCTATTTTGGAATATAAATCTTTCCTGTTCAACCGTGTTTTGATTCTTTGGAACTTGTCCAGTGTTTTGTGATCAGAGAATACTAAGCAATAGGATTTAGCCGGGAATTATCTAAGCAAGCATTACAACAGTATCGACGGAAAATATATCTAAGTGAGCGTTACAATAGTGGCGACGAGGAAAAAGGAAAAAATTTCAAGATGCCTATTTCAGATGATCAGCTTAACCGAATACTACAACAACAGCAAGCACAATTGGATGCACAAATGCGGTTGTTGGCAGTGTGCATCAACGACTTCTGCACCTCAAAGGACTCGAACCCCCAGATTTTCGGTCTTCGAAGAATCCTGCGCACCGCCACTGATGAGTCAGTCTCATACCAGGACGAAACGGCCGTCCAGTACTTCCAGGTTTCTAATGGTGGTGTCTAACAATGACTGATTGATGATTCCAATGTGAAAAAACACTAATCTCCATAACTTTAGTTTATCAAATGAATATTATATTGATGTGCATGCAACTTAAAAATCTCAATAAAATCCAATTCATTAGGTGATCGGTTGAAATATATTGATTTTATGCGAAATTAATGAGGTTAAACGCATAGCACTCAAAAAATATGATTCATTTGACTGATCGGATTGTGAATTTCCAACGATCGATCTGAATGAGTTATGTATGAGGTCGGTTTAACCATCATCACCCACCACCTACCTACCTATCTACCTTGAAATGCAATGTTGACTAGTGTAGGAGTGGAATGGAATAAAGCTGAGTAAAACGAAACCGAGATACAGGATTAATTCGATTTGGACTGATGTGTAAATAAATAATCCAGGTTAAAGAACCTACTTGTTTTGATCAGGCAAGTTATAATATAAACACACAAAACTATGTACTCGGTAAATGAGTTGGAAGAGTGTGAAATATTCCACAAAACAACCTCTCTTTAAACCACTAATTCCTACTGAGACAATATTAAAATCTTTCTAACGATTTGTGTTAACTAGATGTCGATTTACCAAACGAATCGAGGGTAAAAAAAGATTAATTCATGAAAAAAGTTAATTAACATTAACAGTAATTTTTGATCGGACTATTTTTTTAGAAGAAAAAAAACTGTCATTCAATGATTTCAACTAGTTTTTATGTCAGCTTATAGATAGAGTGGTGTTGTGGTGTGAGCTACTTATAAGTAGTATATGACTTGAGTGTCAGTCAACGTAATGTCTGGCAGCAGAAGATGGGGGAAGATCAAGAAAGGAAGAAGAGCTAGAACACAATGGAATTTGTACGAAACGCATGAATAGTGAGTGACAATGGATTGATGTTGTTTGCAACAGGAACAGTCCAGTTCGATATGATGAACTGATATTTTGCAAATTAACGATTTACGATATGGTTTTCCAATTTTGCTGAGTAACTCTGTAATTTTCGTTAAATACAATTCGGTTGCCCCACCTGTGTTCTCCTTCACTACAACATTGCTTCAACAGGCAACCAACAGAATGGATTGTGGGGGCGGAGGGAAACGAGGTCACTGTTACGCATGTGACATGTAAACATGTCATTTTGATAGGCTTGAGCTATTACGAGTTTACCTTAGACGGAAAACAACAACGAGGATCGAGGATCCGGTGACACGACAAGCTAATCTAGTAACAGTGTCCTAACCACCAATGAGTAAAAGCAGAAGACTTGATATGAAGTAGAACCTGTATACTACAAGAATCCAGAAAGTACGAGGTCCGATTCCAGAAAAGAATCAGTATCCGGGTCATTAAACGTTACAGATAATCCGTATTTATACAGTTAGGTTGAATAGGAAATAACATTGAAGTATGTGACCATAATCCCGACCGTAGCTGCTACCTTGACGTGGTGGTCGGGCTTGCCTATCGTCATGACCCAACCGAGCTATATTGGCTGGAACGTATGTTCCTGCAGGTCCTACCATGCCAGGCAGGTCGATTGGAGAACGATCAGACTAAAAGCAGCTACTCAAGGTCTGAGGGCGAAGTCGTACTGCTGACTGCAGAGGGGTGTGACAACAGTAAGGTGTTTCCCTTGGACAACCAGCATCTGCAGCGATGCTGTCTTCTCACAAGGAAGGAAGGGTTAGAAAAGGTCGACCCTAAAAATGTCACACCTCAACCTACCTCACGGATTTCAGTCTCCGTCGGTAAGGGTGCCCACTAAGGGCTTTCAAGAGCGGAGCTAATTTTCAAAATACTTTTCATAAAAAGGCCGTGAGTGACCGGCCTCAAGCAGTTGTCCCTTGGGCTCTGCGGTCACGCACCAACACTAATCCATCTTCCTTTTTTCAGATCCCTCAAGAAACAACTTTCCACGGTGTGGGCAGCCGGAAAGTGACAACCGCCCTCATACCCGTAACACCACGCGAGACCGAATTGGTCAAAATCAAAATGTGACCACAATATTGACCAGTAGGAATGGACTAATATAATTAGATTTACAAATATCTTGGATGAATATCCTAACAGTCAACTACTTACTTGTTTTTGATGTAAAACATGCAAACTTTCAGCAATTTTATCCAGAGCCAATATAAATTGACCATCAGACAAACGAAAGACAGGAGAGATTGGACCAAGTATAAAAAATGGAACAAGATGTGGTAATAAGAAATCTTCATAAAATTGTGTATTATGAGCAGCTGATTGAATAAGTTGTAAAAATAATATTATGCCTGAACGTAATCCAATTGGGTCATCGGTTTCTAAACAGGCTTGTACTTGTCCAAGTACAGTGGAAAGATTCTAAAATGGTAAAAATACACATATGGTAGGTGTGTATATGAGGAGAGCTATGAAAATCTTATACGAAAAAAGAAACAGCTACGAGAATTGTAGTGAAGACATTTGTATTTTTAAGCATATACATATTGAGTTTGAATAAGTGAAGGATCAGTTACCGATTGTTGTATGAATTAAAAGATGAAATATGCGGTTGTTACTATTATCACAGAAAGTCAGTCAGTCAGTCAGCTAAAACGTCTCTATACTTAGAGCACTATCATCTCGCAGACCCCGACCAGGTAGTCTACACTTAATAACACGGCTCAGTTCACCTGTCAGTAACTTCTTGTATTTGCACCATGTTTTCGTCTGACCGCCCCTAACGTTCTTTTAATCTACTCCAACACCACAAAACATAGCTTGTCGCGGCATTCGGTGGTTAGGCATACGTAAAACATGTCTCAACCACCTCAACTGATGATGTTTCATTACTTCATCTATTGACCTGCTATCCTTATCTAGTATCCGTTTCCTAACTAAAGTACTGCTTACTCGGTTGTCCCATAATACTCGAGTAATGCTTCGGAGACACCTATGATCGAAAACCAGTAACCTACGGATATCTTCTACTCCGAATGGCCATGTTTCACTACCATAAAGTTGGATGGAACGAACCACTGCACAGTACACTCGTCCTTTAGTCAGCAGACGGATATCTCGTCTACGTTATAAGTGACGGAAGTTGACAAAAGCTAATCGAGGCTTCTGTATCCGTGCCAAGATTTCGTCACACACCAGGCCATCAGCATTGATGAGACTTCCAAGGTAAGTGAAACGGTCAATATGCGCACACATGACAAAGAATGGAAAAATAATAATCATTTCATCTACTAGTTATCGATAAAAAAACACCAACAACTCACTTGTACAATATTTTCACTAATAAGTTGTGAAAATACATCTGGAACTGATTGATAAATAGTTTGAACTAATTGCAGATAACCACGACGTAATAATTTGCGTTCTTCAATTAATGTTGGATGATTTGGTGGTAAAGGTTCATTTAATGCATTAATGATAACTTCCATTAAATGTGGCAGACAACTTGATAAAAATGGAATACTTTGATTCTATAAAAGGAAAGATAATGAAAATGCAGAGCATACAACAGACCAGTTTAGTACTTATTACATAAGCTTAGTGTACTGAACATATAAACTTAAGTGTACAGTTTAGTTGAACACCTTTCAATATTGTTCTGGGCATTAATAGAGTTTAATTCATTTAGTAATTAGCACTGTTATGAGTAAGCACTGCTGTTGTTGTTAGAAAACGGGTACTAGGTGTGAATGGCAACATGAGATTGGGGGGGTCCGCGATACGATAGTAAACGATGGTTAGAGATTTTGAATGACATGACTCGAAATCGTTTACAATGGCGCAGATGCATTCACTCTGTGTTCTCCTAAATTTTAATCTGATCTCTTCATGACCTTCATCTTTTCGTTCTCAATATTCATCCAATATCCTAAGAGAATTACAGGCCAATTCCTATTAGTTAATTTCTACTGGTCAATTTTATGATCGTCCTAGATATCAATGTCACGTGATCCAATGTTGTTTCTTTTATTGGTCCTCGTAACTGCCAATGTCACAGATTTCGATGATGTTTAATATTCAAATTAAATGTATAAATACGCATTATCTGTAACGTTCTAGGACCAGGACCCGGATCCCTAGTCCGGGATCCTGATTCTCTTCTGGATTCAGACCTCATACTTTCTGGATGCTTGTAGAATACAGGTTCTACTTCATATCAGCTTTCTTTTTTTATTCAATGGAGGCTGGAATAGTCGGATTGAGTAGCATGCCGTGTCACCGGATCTTCGATCCTCGCTCTCGTTTTCCGACTAAGGCAAACTCGTAATGGCACGCGTAACAAATCTATTTCACTAAATTATACTTATTGAATAATATTTTCAAACGCTAATCTTCCCAATAACTGCTCATAATTCTACTACCTCTACCACAATCGGATTTAAATCGACGACTGCATCTCTGTACTATCGTGGTATGGCAACTTGAACTGATGTACGTGTGTGCGAAGTTCTACATTGAAACTGACTGACTGACCGACTGAGCAATGAGCGCTTCACAAGGACTTTTTCTTCCGTTTTAGCTAATGGAATAACTTAACTTTCCACATAAAGTAAGAATCGATAGTATTATTTAGGATGACAATAAAAGGTTTGAAATGAGTAGCAAGCTCAGAAAAAACTCAACAACACCGAAAAACATCCATCTAAAGCTGTAAATGTTCACCACTGGTCAATTTTGTAGATTCCAATAAATAAATTTCACCAACAATCAGCACTGAGAAGAATTCTATCGACTACATAATAATACTGCTAGAGTCATTTACAAAGTAGAACTTCGTACGTACGTACGTACTTACATCAGTTCAAGTCGCCAGACTACACATTATTAACACAGAGACGCTCGATATGGGCGGGCGGTCAGTCAGGAAGTGACAACCGCACCCATACCCGTAAAAGCACATGAGACCAAATCGGTCCCAATCAATACTACTAGAGAATAATAAACCTAATAATCTATCCTAATTTCTAGGATATATATATTAACAATACAACACTGACAAAGTCTTCTCTATACACACAGGTGTAATAAGATCAATGCGCAATCGAAACTATTCCATGAATTTTTTTAACCTACACGCATTGATTGTTATTCTGAAATATTTCAAATTTAGAGATATTGATTAGTTTCATGAATAATTTTGAACTACTGTTATTATTATTAATGTTATTGAAGTGTTTGAGACTGTGAGGAGTGGATGATACAAGTTATTAGGCTATTTATTACAAAACACTGGCACATAATTACGCTCATAGTCGTGTAGTGCAGCTGATATTGAAAAGAGTTCTTGTTTGAGAGTGTTACACCAATAATGAATTAGTTTAGTTAGTTAATTGCAATGTAAAACTTGCTACTTCCGTACAATCAGTTCTAGTTGCTATACCATATTACCACACACAGAGATGCATTTTGTCAATTCAAATCTCATAGTAGTAGAGGTAGTAGAAGTATTAGCTGTAATCAAAGAGATAATTGATTGAATATATCATTCGAGATTTATAACCCAGAGGAACCGATTAGAAAAAAGCAAGGAAATCGAAAGATTAGGATTTGAGATAACACAATGAATGGATGCACCTACGCCAGTGCAAACGGTTTTGAGCCATGCCATTCAAGATCTCTTATCACCGACTACTATCATTTCACAGAATCCAACCAATGGATTCAGAAATTTAAAATTTGCCGGGCAGGGGAGGACAAAGAATCGATCGATACATTCTACGCTAGTGTAAACCAACTTTGAATCATGTCGTTCAACGTCTCCAACTTACTGGTTACGATTAGCAGGTGGAACAATTGTCAATATGAATTCATAGACTGGTAGATAACATATTTTGGTTTGACCTCCTTTAGATTTATTTAATCCACCCCTACGCCTAAATCAAACAACACTACTCATTACGCGCTGAGCAAATGGTTGTCCTAACCAACTAAGCTGATTTTTAAAATTTGTCTAGTACTCTATCCAATAACTCACATGTTGATTACTCGGTGGTCTCAGTACATAGACAGAAATAAATAGTTTATAAAAATAAAAATACAATCTCATTCATATGAAGTAATTTTACACAGTTGCCTGTCTGCTGGCTATTCACAGTTAATGGCCAATTATCATATGACAGTCAGTCAGTTGCAACGTAGAACTTCGTACGTAAGTACATCAGTTCATGTCGCCATACCACATCAGCACAGAGAAGTAATCGTCAATTCAAATCCAATAGTAGAAGAGGTAGTAAAGGTATTAGAAGTAATCGGAGAGGTTAGAATTAGAAGATATTATTCACGAAGTATGATTCAATGAGATAAGTTTAGAAAGTAAAAGCTAGAGGTGTTGAAGAACCCAGAAGATTAGGATTTGAGAGAACACAAAGAATATGACAGGTAAACATTAAGTCTGAAAAGTCATATCTAAATTTTATTTCCGCGAATAAAAATACTTGTATCACAGACAATTATGTAATTCATTGAAATCATGAATCGATCACTGTTAGATAGAAACCTGCAAGCATTGGACACCCGTTCTGTTCTGGTATGGAACTAATCATCAGTAGCACTGCGAATCCACGACTCCAGCACCTAGAGGGAGTCGAAACCAGGACCTTCGGTCTTGCGCGCGAACGCCTAACCTCTGGACCACTGGGTCGGTATCTGACGGTGTTAATATCTAACTTCGATCAATTCACGGTCTTGCGCAACCTCATACACTGTCTTCGGTAGTTACTGTCTACACCTGAACAGGTTGAACTTCACTGGTCACGACTTCAATGAAGTAATGCAATAATTATGTAATTTTAAAACATCTATCCTGTTAATCAGTTAATTCATTCGAAGGCTCTTGTGTCAATAATACGTTCTCGATACCGATTTATCAATTAGTCGACATTATATAAATATACACAATACATTTATCGACCAGGATTCTATTTGCAATCTCCGCCTCGAGCCCCTTCTGGGGCTGCTACTGCTGGTCCCAAGCTGGTCGCATAAAGTAGGAGGGTTGGGTGTGGGGTCAGCGATCCCACCCCGTAGAAAACTAACTCGCTTTAAAAACCCTAACCAGAAAAAATCAAGTTCTATTTTTGTCAGGACACAAAACAAACAAACAGAAGAGAATAAAAATCGATTGTTATGGGGAAATGTGCGTCCTATCCACCTTCAGCGGTAATATTCTAATTTCTTTCACAGCTGAAATCTGATTCGTTCCCTACAATACAATAGCTTGTTGCTGATGGTGTCTGGCCGACAGATCCTTAATACATTGTGTGTAGACAACTGTTAATAAACACCTATAATCTTTTAGATGATGACAATCATAGTTCTCGGAGCTTCCGCTCCATACATTATTAGAACGTTTGTATTGTCTTGAAGGATGCTTTGATGTGATCCTGGAACCATAAGATTCTCATCCTATAGGAGATTTTTGTGCTTGTTTGCACAGCATCAGTGCAACTCCTTGTGAGCGTGTGAAGGAGAGAAAGAGAGATCCGTCAGTCAGTCAGATGCAACGTAGAACTTCGTACGTAAGTACATCAGTTCATGTTGCCATACCACATCAGCACAGAGATATAATTGTCAATTCAAATCCAATAGTAGAAGAGGTAGTAAAGATATTAGAAGTAATCGGAGAGGTTACGATTAGAAGATATTATTCAAGAAGTATGATTCAGTGAGAAAAGTTTAGAAAGTCAAAACTAGAGTTGTTGAAGAATCCAGAAGATTGGGATTTGAGGCAACACAGAGAATAAATGCACCTGCGACATTGCGAACGATTTTGAGCCATGTCATTCAAGGTCTCTAACCATCGATTATTATCATCTCGCGGACCCCAACCAGGTAGTCGACAATTACCGACATGGTTAAGTCCACTTGTCAATGACTTGATGGATTTCTGCCATGATTTGGTTTGGCCGCCCCTAACTTTCTTCCAACCTACTCCTACATTACAAAACAAAGCTCGTCGATGCAGTCGGTGGTTAGGCATACGCAACACGTGTCCCAACCACCTCAACTGATGAAGTTTCACCACTTCATCTATTGATCTGCCATTCTTACCTAGCACCCGTTTCCTAATAACAGCGTTGCTCACTCGGGTGTCCCACGATATACGAGCAATGCTTCGAAGACACCTATGATCGAAAACCAATAACCTACGAATATCTTCTACTCTCATTGGCCATGTTTCACAGCCATAAAGACGGAGCGGACTGCTGCACAGTACACCCTGTGCCATAAGTGACGCAGGTTGGCAAAAGCCAATCGAGCTTTCTGTATCCGCGCTGAGATTTCGTCAGTCACCAGGCCATCAGTACTGATCAGATTCCCCAGACAAGCGAAGTGGTCTACACACTTGACTACTTCAGTCCCTATCACTAGTTCAGGTGCCGATACAACCCAATCTTAAGGCAACATTTTGCATTTCGAGGGGGAAAAAAGCATCCCGAACATGCTTGCATTGTTGCTTAGGGTGGTCAGAAAGAGACATTCTCGTCTTCATATGTCAATACAGATTAAACAACTGTAGATTTTAATGCCAAAAACAGAGAAACACACACATCTCCTACAGTGAGTGATTCAACAGTTTTTAAGTCACTGATAACAGTGCGAATTCAATCAATCAACTTAGGAATAAGCAAACTCTTCTGAATGGTTTTTTTTCATGTTAACTGACCATATATTATGCATCTAGCACACAATTACAATACAGAGATCATTACAAACAAAGCATAAGGTGGTGTAACCCTTTTCATCAACTGAAAATGTGGTAGACAATGAATTGTATGATATATGTTAGGATATTCATCCAATATCCTAAGAGAATTATTGGTCGAATCCTATTGGTCAAAATTATGGTCGTCTTAATTCTCAAAGTCAAATACTTAAATGTTGTCTCTCATTGACCATCCTGACGGTCAATGTCATTTCAGATGTTACCTCCTATTGGTCGTCTTAACTGTCAATGCCACAGAATTTGATGATGTTTCCTATTCGACAAAAATGTATAAATATGCATTATGTGTAATGTTGTATGACCAGGACTAAGACCCGGTCACGGATCCCTAGTCCGGGATCCTGATTCTCTTCTGGATTCGGACATCGTACTTTCTGGATACTTGTAGAATACACGTTCTACTTCATATCATGTCTTCTTATTTTAACTAAATATGGGGGTTGTAATAATCGGATTTGAGTAACATGTCGTGTCACCGGATCCTCACTCTCGTTTTCTGACTAGGTAAACTCGTAATACTTCAAGTATATCAAGTTGACGTGTTTACGTGCAGGCGTAACAATATATAACTAGATATAACACTAGAAAACAGTTAAGAAATCAAATCATGACTACTATGTCTGTCTACCTTATATCTGAGTACAACTTGTGTAACAAGCGGTATTATATCACGAATTTCTTTCCAACGTTGTTCTGCATCCACTGTATCTAACACTTCATTACCAGTAGTCGCAGTAGTAGTAGCAGTACCAGTGACTGCAAGTGATTGTAACGGTTTCACTAATTTCGGTACAGCATCTACAAGGGCAGCCAGCAGTACATCCGATGTCAATGTACTTCTACAGCCAATGGAATTTGATTCATTTGTTGGTATAATACAAGCAACCATTCGATGTAAAAATGCACGAACACCAGCACAAGCAGCTTGTCGACCGGGACTGGTGGCTTCTGTAGGAAAACGTGATAATTCGGAAATGATAAGTTGCATTGCATCAATTAACACGGTTTCACATCCAGATGTCATAATTGATTTTGGTTGAGAAAAAACTCGAGTTGTTTTGCTAAATAATAAATAGAATTAAAAGGTGAAATAAATATATATGTCATTTAAGTGAACACGAAATAACATGATTGTAATTAATTAGTGTGGGTACGGAGTATCTCCCCACCGAGGAAGGTTGGAAAACCACAAGTGTACATTGACCGCAGGATTAATCAATCAACAGCAACGTAGAACGTCGTACGTGAGCACATCAGTTCAAGATGCTATACCACATTAGTACAGGGATGCAACTGTTACTTAAATTCCCATAGTAGTAGAGGTAGTAGAAGTATTTGCAGTAATCAGGGAGATTGTAGTTTAAAGATGTTTTTCAAGAAGTATAATCCAATGAAATAAACTTAAAAGAGAAAGATAAACGTGATGAGGAACTCCGAAGGTTAAAATTTGAGAGAACGCAAAGAATGAATGCATATGCGCAATTGATAGCGGTTGTAAGGCATGTCATTCAGGGTCTCTAACCATCGATTATTATCATCTCGTGGACCCCAACCAGGTAGCCGACTCAGTCAGTAATTTCATGGATTTCTGCCATGTTTTAGTCTTGCCACCTCTAGCTTTTTTCCAACCTATTCCTACATCACAAAACATAGCTCGACGAGGCAGTCGGTGGTTAGGCATACGCAACACATGTCCCAACCACCTGAAATGATGAAGTTTCACTACTACATCTGTTGACCTGCCACCCCTACCTAGTACTTGGTTCCTGACAACAGCATGGCTTACTCTGTTGTCCCATGATACACGAGCAATACCTCAGGAACACCCATGATCGAAAAACAATCAACCTACGAATATTTTCTACTCTGACCGGCCATGTCTCACAGGGTCATAAACAAACAAATGGCGTATGAAGCTATACTTGGTCACCGGCTACCATGGGACTGCATCTCATAACATTACTCCACTACTGCTCTGTGAATTAGACATCCAGATGAAAAAATGAGGAGTGACCCCGTAAGCAAACCATCTGCTTTGTGGTTTGATTACCCGTGCAGCAGCCAAGTCCATAATACTTGTGTGGTGCTGTGGTGCGAACTACTTATAAGTAGTATATAGCGTGAGTGTCAACGTAAAGTCTGGTAGCATAATATGGGGGGAAGATCAAGAAAGGAAGAGTCAGAAAACAATGGAATTTGTATGAAACGCATGAAGAGTGACAATGGATTGATGTTTGGCAACAGGAACAGTCCAGTTCCATAGGATGAACTGATCCTTTGCAAATGAACGATTTACGATATGGTTTTCCGATTTTACTGAGTAACTCTGTAATTTTCGTTAAATACAATTCGGTTGCCTCCACCTGTGTTCTCATTCACTACATTTGGTGTCGCTGCCTACGCAAAGGATGAAGATTCCATGGCCGAAGGAGTTTGAAGACGGGGATGTGCGGGGCTTCCTGAAGGAGTTTGAGGCCGTGGCGGAGCTGGTGGGGGTGAAGGAACCGAAGGCGAAGCTGGTGGTGCTGGGAACGCTGCTGAGAGGAAGGGCGAAGGCCGTATATGACGGCCTGGACGGTGCTGGCGGGAAGACATCATGGAAGGCGGTCATTCAGCGGCTGGTGACCGAGTTCGACAGCCCGGTGGACAGGGAGGAGGCGTTGCGGAAGTTCCGGTTGGCGAGGCTGTCGGCTGATGGTGACCCGCTGGTGCTCGCTGTGGAACTCAAAAGGTTGCTGCGCCGTGCGTTGCCGAATATCGATGAGGAGTCGGAGGCACAATTGTTGGCGTCGCAATTTATTGAGAGTGTGCCTGCCGCTGTGTCCCAGCAGCTGAGATTAGTAAATGCAGCACAACCTATGGACATCGGTGAACTGGCGAAGGTGACTCGTCAGCTGATGACACGAACAGTAGCTCCGGTCGGGTGCGAAAAGCAGGAGATAAATACTTTCGAGAAGAAGATTGAGGAGTTAGAGCGTGAGATAGCAGCATTACGAGTAAATCATAAAAGGAACGATAAATGTTACGCTTGTGGAGAGGCAGGACATTGGAAGATAAACTGTCCAAGAAGACGACGACGACGATATTTTAAACATTATAACGTGTTTTCTTTCCACCCTAGGAATTGGGAGGTTCTTGCACTAGTAGATAGAGGGGCAATTTATGCCAGAGTGTACATAAATGAACGGGAGTTAGTGTGTTTGATTGATACAGGGGCAGCTATATCGTTAATAAGCAAAGAGCAATGTAAGACAATTAAACCATGTACATTAGCTGTCCACACCATAGGAGGGCATATGCTAGAGGTGTTGGGGGTATCTAACAGTATTGTAAAAATGAGTGGAGCTGAGATAAATTTTCCGTTCGTGGTAACCACAAGCTTATCGAGACCGATATTAGGAGCAGATTTCCTAAGAGAGGTAAAAGCAATAATTGACTTGAGAAGCGGGAAAATGGTCACAAAGTACGGTTCATTGCCAATACATGAAAGTAGCGAAGTGGCTGAAATAAGGATGGCAACGGACGTCTCGACCAAGAAACCTAACGTTAACGAGTTATGCGCAAAGTATGCGAAACTGTTCACTGGAGATGGGGAGCCGTATGGATTTTGTGACAAAGTAAAGCATGAAATTCCTATAAAGAACGACCGAGTAAATATATTTACAACACGTCGTGTCCCAGTGCATTTAGAGGCCGAGGTAAATCGACAGGTCCAGGAAATGTTGAAGGAAGGTATAATTGAGGAAGCAGACAGCCCGTATAGCTCACCGGTACTCTTGGTAAAGAAACCCAATGGAAAGTATAGATTTTGCGTCGACTTTAGAGAACTGAATAATATAACAGACCTGAAACCGTGCGCAATGCCAACAGTAGTAGAAACATTAGATCGATTACAGAATGCCACGGTGTTTACAGTGCTGGATCTACGGTCAGGTTATTGGCAACTACCTATAAAAGATAGCGATCGCAACAAGACAGCATTTACTATACGGGATAAACAGTATCAATTTAAACGAATGCCGTTCGGGTTGGCTGGTGCACCGTTCACGTTCAGAAGATTGATGACGCTGCTGCTTAAGAATCTAGATAATGTTGAGGTATATGGCGACGATGTAGTTGTATACAGCCTGACGGAAACAGATCACGTCAAGCATGTGGAAGCGGTCTTAAAGCGAATTGACGAATTTGGGCTTCGAATTAATAAGGAAAAGTCGCAGATAGCGAAAAACAGCGTCATATTGTTGGGACATAAAGTGGGAAACGGAGAAATAAAGCCATTACCAGAGAAAATTCTTACCATAAAAAATATTGCAGTACCTAATTCGAAAAGGAAGTTGAGACAGTTCCTGGGAAGAGCGGCGTTCTATAGTCGGTTTGTCAAGAATTTCAACGAAATAGCAGCGCCCTTATATAAGTTGCTGAGCAACACCAAGTTTACATGGACTGAGGCTGCCGAACAAACGTTCAACCGAATCAAAAACATGCTAGACGATCGTCAGATGACGCTGCGACTGCCTGAACCCGGTAAACTGTTTACAGTGGCCACAGATGCAAGTGATCATGGTATAGGTGCGGTATTGAGTCAGGCTGATAGAGTGGTGGAATACGCAAGTCGCGTTCTCACACCCGCCGAACAGAAGTATTCAACGATCGAGAAGGAATGCCTAGCAATCGTGTGGGCAGTAGAGAAATGGAGACCGTACCTTTTAGGTAGACGATTTCACATCGAGACGGATCATAAGCCCCTACAATGGTTGAAAACAGCAAAAGACCCTCGGGGGAAGTTGGCTCGATGGATGCTACGTCTGCAGGAGTATGATTTCAGCATCGGGCATGTGCCAGGGGAGGAAAATGTAATGGCAGATTATTTGTCAAGACCGGACACCGAAGCCGAACTTCCAGAGATAGCGTGTGCAGTTAACGGCCTAGAGGGAGACCCCCTAGAACTCGTCCGACATCAGAAAGCCGACCCTAACCTTCGGGAGGTAATCAGAGTGATAAAAGAGGGAGAAGATGTTGACAAGAGTAGAACAGATAAAGAATTAACAGTGTTGCTGAGGCAGAAGGAGAGACTGAGAGTGAACGGATACGGAGCCTTGACCTGGCGGGATGATGACGAGAATTGGGTAGCAATAATCCCAAAAGATCTGCGCCAGGAGATGATTCGTGAATGTCACCAGGTAGCGCATACAGGTATTGCACGGACAACTGATTTGCTGCGACAAAGTGCGTACTGGCCAGGTATGAGAGACGATGTTGCACGATATGTATTAGCGTGCCAGCGATGTCAACTAATGAAAGGAGATCGATGCATACGACCGCCATTGCAGTCAATTCCAGTAACAGCAGTTGGTGATTTGTGGTCAGTAGATGTTATGGGACCGTTCCCGCAGACGACAAGTGGTAACCAGTACCTGCTGGTGATGACTGAGCATGCCACACGATGGGTAAATGCCGTGCCGATGGCGGACCAACGTGCAAGGACGGTGACGGAAGCGGTAATGCGGCACATTGTGGCGGACCATGGGATACCAAAGATAATATTAACCGATCAAGGTCCCTGTTTCGAGAGTGATGAGTTCAAGTCCCGTCTAAAGCAGTTAGGTATCAAGAGAGTACGAACAACGCCGTATCATCCACAGACGAATGGGTTAACGGAAAGGAATAACCGAACGCTAAAGGAATGGCTAGCATCTAAAGGGGGTGACTGGGAGAAAGAATTACCATTAATCTTGCTGGCACATCGTGCCTCGGCACAGGGAACAACCAGGAAGTCACCGTTCCAGCTGATGTACGGCAGACGGCCGAGACTACCAACGCATGATAAAACCTGGCCGCAACAACAGAGATGGAATACAACAAGATTGAGAACAGAGCGGAGACAAGCAATCAGGAATGTGAGAGAGAAACAAACATCAGACATGGAAAAGTCAGAACAGGAGAGAAAGAACTGGAGATTGTTTGAAGTGGGAGATCAGGTGAAGTGTAGAGAACGGAAATATACCACAGGAAGAGGGCCAGGGTCAGGTAAGCTGATCCCGAAGTGGGAGGGACCGTACGTCGTC